ATTTTTTTAATATAAAAGTTATTGTATTATCTATAATTTTCACACCATTAATACTTAACTGATAAGTATATAAAGGGATAGACTCAACAAAAGTTGAATAAAGCCACTAGGAATGGCATCAAATACTTCGGCAAACTCTTGTGTTGTATGTACATTAACTGACAGTCAATACAACACTATGTCCAACTGTCTTTGAGCGCGCGCATGGCATCCGGTGCGTGAGGTGTGTACGCGCTCTGGCGTAGTTTACGCAAGTGCCGGAAGTGATCTCTCGCACGTATACGTCACTCATTGTTTACAGTACTATATCCATTTCCACAAAAATGTGTGTGGAAAACAGAAGAAGAAAGCATATCTTTGCAATATAAAATCACAAATTATTTCCATGTTTTCCCCACGAAATTACAGTGCCTGTGAGCAGGAGGATACCACCGGCATTTGTTCTGATACTGGAAAGTCTACAGAGCATTTTAAACATTTTTAAAACAGTACCAATACAAGCATTTTTCAAAACAAATGAACACTTTCACATTTTTCAAACAAGTAACTTATTTAAACAGATAGGCACCTCTTTAGCAAAACAGCGCAGAGAGCCGCTTCTGAAACGTGCCGCGGCGTGAGTGGCTGCAACGGTGTAAATCAGGGGTTATATACTGCACTACAGGCTACAGCGCCATCTACTGGATTGTAAAGATATTGAATCAAATTAGCCATATTGAACCAACTGCCTCACGGGCTAGATGAAAACAACCGTAGTTTGCCCACCTCTGTAGATTCATATCATTTTTAAAAATCCCTTGCGGGCCGCCCCAGGAGTGATAGCAGGCCGTAGTTTGGACACCCCTGATTTAAATCATTATTGTTAGATGATTCAATCATTGAAGAGACATTACAAAAAGTAGCTTTAGAAATAAATATTTTGATTCAACATAACATAAATTGGCATTAATGGTTTTAAAAAATGAATATTGAAATATGAAATGATTTTATAAAAAAGTAAATATGTTAAATGAAAAATCAAAATATGAAACTAAAACCTCCAGTAGGTGGCAGCAAGTCTTAATGATTGAGTGAGTCATTCAGTTATTTAATCAACGAATCCTTCAAACGGATGATTAAAGTTAATTCAGAAACGAAGGAAGTGACTAGAAACCGCATACTTCCCTACTATATAGTACGCAAAAAGCAGTAGGCAAGCGAAGAAGTATGTTTGAATCCTCAGTATTCATAAAAGAGTACACTGTTAAAAATATATTTTTTAAGTAAAACATTCAGTCAAAGGTTCTTTAAAGAACCATCTATTTCTTAGCTTTTTAAAATCTGAAGAAGCTTCTTTTGCCACAAAGAACCTTTTGTGAAACTGATGAGACACGCGTGTTTATCTGGTGAAAAGTGACTGATGAAGGAATGCTGCCATCAAAGGCTCTCAGTGAGTACACTACAGACATCAATAAAACATCTTTTAAATCTTAAGTTGTAGTTTATTTTAATTATTGTCATTTCAATCAGAGCTATTACAGCGCTTTTCTGATTCTTGATTTTTGTACATTTGCTGAAAAGCTTTTGTGGTGGAGCAGGACCTTCAAGGAAACGTGATGGCGGCATTTGTGGAAAAAAGGGAAAACCTGAAACAAAACTATAAAGTATGATAATTTTGTTACTTCTAATACAGAAATCAAATGACATTCTGCTGTTAAAATGACTGCTTTTGTGTTATATTTGTGCATCTTTGCAGGAGCTGAAATGTCTGCAGACTGCTGTGTGCAGTGAGGATGGAGAAGTCCACAGCAGCATCCTATAAATGGTCCAGTGCCATGGATGAGACCCTCCATCACTCCATCTGCCCTTACTGCCTCATCTGGGCCGGATGTTGCTGTGGTCTCTTCATCCTCAGTGACAATGAAACCGAAGTTTCGAGAAATGCATTTGTGTTCATAAAAAAAAAACAGATGATCGATTTGTGGTCATTTCATCTGACCTCTGGCCGTATGTCTTGGACACTTGGGTGAAGAGAGGGGCAGAGCTGTCAACCAATCACCACCTGGTGGTGAGTGGGATCCGCTGGCAGAGGAGGAGGCTGGACAGACCCAGCAGGCCCAAACGTATTGTGAGAGTCAGCTGGGAATATCTGGCTGAACCATGTGTCAGAGGGATTTTCAACTCCCACCTCCGGGAGAGCTTTGACCAGATCCTGAGGGAGGCTGGAGACACTGAGTCCGAGTGGACCTTGTTCTCCGCCTCCACTGTGGACGCAGTCAGCTGTGGCTGTAAGGCCTCTGGTGCCTGTTGTGGCAGCAACCAACGAACCTGGTGGTGGACACCGGAAGTAAGGGATGCCGTCAAGCAAAAGAAGGAGTCTTACTGAGCCTGGTTGGCTTGTTGGACTCCCGAGGCAGCTGTTGGGTACCGACAGGCCAAGCATGCTGCAACCCGGGCGGTCGCGGAAGCAAAAACTCGAACCTGGGAAGAGTTCGGGGACACCATGGAAGAGGACTATTGGTCGGCCTCAAAGAGATTGGTGGGGCTGTCATGGCTGACACGCCTCTGTAACATCGCGTGGAGGTTGGGGACAGTGCCTCTGGACTGGGCAACTGGGGTGGTGGTCCCCCCTTTTAAGAAGGTGTGTTGCAACTATAGAGGGATCACACTCCTCAGCCTCCTTGGAAAAGTCTATGCCAGGGTACTAGAGAGGAGAATCCGGCCGATAGTGGAACCTCGGATTCAGGAGGAACAATGCGGTTTTCGTCCGGCTGTGGAACATTGGACCAGCTCTATGACCTCACTAGGGTGCTCGAGGGTTCGTGGGAGTTTGCCCAACCAGTCCACATGTGCTTCGTAGACCTGGAGAAGGCGTTCGTCTGTGTCCCTCGTGGCATTCTGTGGGGGATGCTTTGGGAGTATGGGGTATTAGGCGCTCTGTTAAGGGCTGTCCAGTCTCTGTACAACCAGAGCAGGAGCTTGGAGTCAGTCTTGTTCCAGTGCATGTTGGACTCCGGCAGGGCTGCCCTTTGTCACCAGTTCTGTTCGTTATTTTTATAGACGGGCCAGAGGGGGTCTGCCTCGGAAGATTTTATCTCTGCTATTTGCAGATGATGTTGTCCTGTTGGCTTCATCGGACCTGGAACTTCAGCGTGCACTGGGATGGTTTGCAGTCGAGTGCGACGCGGCGGGGATGAAAATCAGCACCTTCAAGTCGAGGCCATGGTGCTCAACCGGAAAAGGGTGGCTTGCTTTCTCCGGGTTGGGGGAGAGTTCTTGGCCCAGGTGGAGGAGTTCAAGTATCTTGGGGTCTTGTTCACGAGTGAGGGAAGGATGGAATGTGATATTGACAGACAGATTGTTGTAGCTTCAGCAGCAATGCAGTCAATGTACCGGTCTATTGTGGTGAAGAAAGAGCTGAGCCAAAAGGGGAAGCTCTCGATTTACCGGTCAATCTACTTTGCTACTCTCACTTATGGTCATGAGCTTTGGGTCATGACCGAAAGGACAAGATCTCGGATACAAGCGGCCGAAATGAGCTTCCTTCGCAGGGTGGCAGGGCACACCCTTAAAGATAGGGTGAGGAGCTTTGTCACACGGGAGGAGCTCGGAGTAGAGGCACTGCTCCTCCACATCGAGAGGAGCTAGTTGAGGTGGCTCGGACATCTGTTTCGGATGCCTCCTGGACGCCTACCTGGGGACGTGTTCCGGGCTTGTCCCACCGGGAGGAGGCCCTGGGGAAGACCCAGGACACGCTGGAAGGACTATGTCTCTCGGCTTGCCTGGCAATGCCTTGGGATTCCCCTGGAGGAGCTGGAGGAAGTGTCTGGGGAGAGGGAAGTCTGGAGTTCCTTGCTGAGACTGCTGCCCCCAAGACCCAGCTCCAAATAAGTGGTTGATGATGGATGGATGAATGGATGGAAAAAAAGACACAAGGACTGAACAGCATGGAGTTGAGTAAAAAATTACTGAATTTATATGTTTGGATGAACTAACCCTTTAAGCCCCCAAATAGGAATTGTATGAAATATATGTAATGACTTTATTTATAATATTAGTACCTTGAAGAACTAATCTTTAAGAAATAAGCAGCTTTATTGAGTGTTTGTGCCCAAGACATAAAAAAGGATTTACAAAAATCACATTTACATTCTGCATTTGGCAGATGCTTTCATGCAAATTGACTTACAGTGCTCTTATTACAGGGAGCCCAGTCCCCCTGCAGCAATCCGGAGTAGAGTCTTGCTGAAGGACACACCAGTGGTGACGAACCAGCAACCTTCTGCTTACCAGTTCAGTGCTTTTGCCCACTACACCACAAAACGAATGAAGCTATATAATTGTTTCATTAACTTATGCATTAATCCATTACTTGACTGAACATTGAGATGTAATCACCTTGGCTGCATTTGTCTGGTCTGTAGTCATGCATAGCTATTGCATATGACAAAATATGGCAAATCAGCTCAAAGGGGAAATATGAATAATTAATCATAACTAGTTATAATAAATTATCAATATTTAGATCCGCTGTAAGTATTTACTTGACCTCTCAGTGGCAACTGTCTGTCAATTCTAAGAACGTTAATTTCCTGGTTAAGGAAAATAACTTTCTTATTGTACAATACTACTCAGAGCATGTAGCAAAAATCTGCATGATTAGAGACTCTGGTTATGAGCAAACAATGAACAATGTCAAGTGTGATACAAGTAAGACTTTATTAACTACATAAACACTTAAACTAATCTAAAAAGGATTAGAGCTCAGGCAGTAAAGAGAAGATAAATAAAAACATGAAGCTATGGTACCATTTGATATTCAGCAGATCTAGAGCCTGAAGGAAACATTGTAACTTTGTAAAAAGGTGCAAATGCTACTTAATGTATCAATTAATAAGACTAAGTTTGATACTTGCACGTATTGTCTGTCTGAAAGAGAGTCCTGATGCTCTTTGGGGCTCCAGTAGGTTGGCTGAAGTTAGGTGATGAGAAAGAACCATTTTGAGTCAGAGGATCTTGATGAAT